TTTTTGCAAGCACTCTAGCGGCAAGGGAAAGCATTTTGGAAAAAAATGTCAAGAGACAAAAATGTTCAGGACACATTTCTCTATCTGCTCTGATAAGTTGAGAAAAATCTGTGACAGTGCATTGAGCACGCTATGCTGGAAAAGTGCGTTTCTATCGTGCACTGCCTCATAAAGACATGACTAATATCTCTGCTCAGGTCTTTCCCGTTAACGAGATAGGCGGCATTATCCGTAAAATAACTACCTTTTCTACCGGCTACATATAATCATACCTTTATGAATAAAATAACCATAAGAAGCTCGAGTACAGTATAGAGACATGTTGCCAGGTGCGAGCTGACTTTTCGTTGGTAGAAATCGTGAAAAAACCAGAAGCCCGACTTGGTTAAAAGTGGAAAAAGTCCAAAATTTGGAAAATTTGCGCGCTCTCTCCACCATGGAAGACATTTTTATAAAATTACAACTGGCAGAGAACTTAAGTACAAAGTTACAGCTGCTTAAGTAATCAATTTCACCAAAAAATCTTGCCTTCGGAGCAATAAATAAGAGTCAGTTAATAGGAAAAAATGTCTCTTATCTCGGTAATGGAAAAGACCTGAGCAGAGATATTTTCGAATTAGTCATGTCCTTGTGCTTATAAGTAACTTGCAAAAAAGATTTTTCTTCAACTCGTCTGCAAAAAAAGTCCAGCCAAATCTATTTCGACTCCACATGTATTCTAATCCTTGTAGTACGACAAGTTTCTTTCTTTCAGTGCATTAGTTAATTATTTCCTTCGAATGCCCTATTGGTGAATAAAGAGTTTGTCTATGTAGCATTTTGCTTTTGTTAACCATCTCTTCACGTAGCTGTTTTACATTCTATGCTTAACGTGTCTTATGAATGATTTTTCATTATGTATTCTCAAATAGCATGTGCGTTGATTTTTTGTTTTATAAACTATTTTCAAAGAATTCGGGTATGACTTGTGAAATTTGCCTTTGAAATCGGAGGAAACAGTTTTGATCTTTGTTTCATCGCCTTGAATTTTGGTGTCCACTGTATTTCATCATTAGAAGCACAGATGAATGATACGAAACAACTGTCTGTTTTCTCCTTGATTTTCTTTTGTTATTGCTAATTGACCGATGAATCAACAGTTGTTGCACAGATGCTTTCCAATAAGGATGTGTTGCTTAAACTTCACTGAAAAAGTTGAAAAGTCTGATATTTATACACGTTTATAAATCGAACAATTTACAAATTTTTTAAAATTTAATCAAAAATTTAAAAGCTATATTATCGGTTCGAGATTTATAAATCAATTGTACAAGAAAGTAATGTTATTAAAACTTGAAAACATTATAAACATGGGTAATTTGATGTCCCTACAGTCTTGCACTATCAAAAACATGTTTACTCAACATTGAATTTTCAGGCTTTGCAGAGTTCCATCACAAACCTGAATACGAACAGGTATGATTCTCATGTTTGAGATCAGGACCATCGACCACCACTAACCATTTATGTTTCAAAAAACAAGTGATGAGACATCTGGTGAACGTTTTCCTCATTAGTTTAGAGTCAATATAGAAGCAGATGCTCCAAATGAATTAGATTTTCTTTTATCTATCAATTGAATTCTAAGTTGACGAGTTCTATAAAATCAGACAGATATTTGTTCATAGTGGACGATCATCGATGTGAAGATACCTTTAGTTATTCAGTAGTGCATTGCATATAATAAGTTAGTTATTTGTAGAAAATGTACTTATGGCTGACAATCAGGGATCCCAGATCCAAAACACGAAAATCAGAAAATAAAAGTCCAAAACCTAGGAAAAAGAAGCAGAAAATCAATAGAGCTTAGGGTAAAAAAGAGCAAAAACGAGGCAGAAAAAGTTCCAAAAATCAGAATTTTTCTGCCAAAATCAGAAGATCTGGGATCCCTGCTGACAATGACAGGCGTTCCACTGTTATAATGTTCATTATATTGATTCTGCTTTAGTTTTAAAAATTGATCCAGATGGATAATATGTTTACTACGACTCACTGATTCTATGTGATTGATCTTGAGAGTAAATGAAGCTTGTATTAGAATTTCTTCTTCATCAGGAATACACAATAACGGTGATAAATATTGTTCTATTGTAATAATCAATTCTAGAAATACCAATAACTACTGGTATCATACCAGTAATAAACTGTCTATCTGAGCAGATTTATTTGAGCGTATCATTCGCATGTATTGTTATATATATTTAATTTAATGATTAGAAATATGATGTTTTGAAATTAGAAGTCTAATGTGCATTTATTAATGAAGGAAAATAAAAAATACCATATAGTATTTTAAAAGAAAAGTAATCACGAATACCGCAGTTAAGTTTTGACATAATAACAATAATTTATTTATTCAAATTACAGAAATTCTCGATCTACTACGCACAGTGGGCATCCAGGCGGACATTTAGTGAAAAATCGAAAGTACACTTTTCTGAAATTCAAGCAGTGTCAAATATATTCTGCTCTACGGGCTATCTAATGGTAGTAAAATTTCCATCACCATCTTTCTCATTTAGTTTTCAAATAAGGCTAATTACATCCTGATTAATATTTGATTCTGCTTGATTCGTCAATTGTTGTGGCGATGGTGGTGGTGGAGCATGCGCTTGTTGATATTGTGCTAATGGTTTATCTATTCTGGCTGTTTCAATAATATTCATTGGCGGTAGTGGTCGTGCTGTTTGCTGGTCTTTTTTAAGCATTTTACAGAACTCTTTTAAATCTCGAATTATTGTTTCCGCTTGTAGTCTGGCATCAATATTCTGTAACATTGTTGCCTCAACTTCCAGCTGATGTATCAAGGAATGAAACTCCTGTACCAGATAAAATCCGGAACATATTTTTCTTAAATTATTACATTTCTGTTTGATATCCTCTGTTTTTTGTTTCAATGCTTTTTCCAACAGACGTTTAGCATCACCAACTGTTGTTACTTTCTGTTGAAAATCTGCTTTATTCTTCGTTGCCATATCAAATTTCGCTTTTATATCTTGTAAAACATCTTGCAGCTTTTTTTGTGTGATTTTAACCGTCTTTTTCGCAATATAATGTGCTGTATAAGAACATTCGTTTGGACATTTTGTACAAACACCAGCTGACATTGCATAACACTGTTGAAATATCTGTGACCCATCTATTGTTTGTTCATCTAATCCGCATTTATTATGGCACACAAAATTACAATTCTGGCATAATGTACTATGATACGCTGCATCAACAATATCAATTTGATCGACTGTACGCTCTTTAGCATAATCTTTGTATGATAATTCATCCGTTTGCGCGTGTTTTAGACCCTCTTCAAATGCTGCTATTTCTTCTTGCATTGTTTGAATTTTATTTATTTCTAATCGTATTTGATGCATTAATATTTTTATTTCATTCCGAATGTCTTTCATATCTTTAAATGCTGTTATTGATTTTGTTTTAAATGTATCAATAGTATCAATCATTAATTTCATTTCATCCATTGATTGATCCCAATCAATTTTTAATGCATCCATAGCCGATTGTGTCCGTGTAGATAGATTCATTGAAAATGCAGAATTTTGCATGTAATATGGATACACATTTCCATGTAAATTTAATGATTTTATTTCATAATTCACTTGATGTCGTTTAGCATTTGTTGATATAACAATAACATTATTCATAATAGTATCGGGCATATTATCCCTTAAACGTGCAATAAAATTTGTTGAGCTTAAATTTACGCGTGCACTTGTACCATTGACAACAATAATTACTGCTGTTAAACCACCTAAACTTTCCACCGCATCAATTATTTTATTCATATTTATATCATCTTGTCCCACTCTACGTGCATCACTCCAACCTGGTGTATCCAAAAATAAATATTGTTTCTGTGTTTTATTATCGACAAATATATACTGATTACACTTATCGGTTTTTGATTGCATACGATCATGGATAGCATGTTCATGATGATCAAATGTTTCTGTTGGTATTGGATAATGTAATGATGGTATAGCTATTTTGATATTGTTTAATGAACCATTACGAAAATAATTTGTTAAATAATTAATGAATGTGGATTTACCCGATCCTGTTTCACCAATAATCAATATTTTTGCTATATCACTTGTATCAAGTTCAATTTGATTTTTTGTTGGTATAATTGTCGCTAATGGATCAGAAATAGCTATTCGATCAATGGCAGTAATCGTTCTTTGGATTGTCATTGTTTATTGCTTGTCAAGTTGCGTGTTCTAAACAAAGATAGAAAGAAAAGCATTGCAGAATAAACAATGTTATTCTATATTTGAAGAGTACAATAATCATTTAAAGTACATCCCAAAAGAAAACTATTTTATGAGAAACTTGGTGTTTCGCAGATCAGCTGGACAGTAAAACAAGAAAAAAAAGATTGTTTTTTAAATTATGTTTATGTAAACTTGTTACAAGAGAAATATATTATCGGATGAGAAGAAGAACACAAGTTACCGCATACTGCAACGTACAAAATTATAAATAATGTGAACAGAAAACGAACTTTCGACTATAGGAAAGATTTTTCTAAAGATCGTATAGCACACGTCCATGCGAAATTTCTTTTGGTTTTAATGTGCTGTTCGCAGTTGAAAAATAGGAGCATATGAACTGATAATCATATAGAGCATGCTCAAGAGCGCAAGGACGAATTTAATTGTGTGTTTGATTTTGATTTATCAACATATTGATAGCAGCAAGTTGTAACAATTTTTCACCTGGTACTTTCTGTATTTCCAATGATTTATCATCAGCAAAATGCGCTTTACCCTGAGGTCAAGGCTGACAATGAGCTGACAATGATGCTAAAAATTTAGTTGGTATCGACAGTTGAAGACTATCCAATGAATCACCAGAAAACAAATTCGTTAAGTAATTAATAAATGTGCTTTTTCCTATCAATAAACAAATAGTTTTGTTGATAAACTACAGTTATGTTGGGACAAGAAAAAGTTTAGTTACCTGCTCCTGTCTCGCCAACAATCTCAACATTACGTGTGGATGAAGCCATTTGAATGGCAAAAATGTTTAATGTTTGAGAGCTGTATGAGGGTCGATGGTTTGTATAATAGGCGATCTTATTAGTTGTTGTAAAAACTATTTTAATTGTTCTTCCAATTCTCTTTCTTTATTTTGGTTATAAATTTTGTCCTTCTTTTTTTCGTATCAGTTTTTGTGACTTTTCTCATGAGAGAAGAAACGCGTAGATAATATTATTCGAAGATGAATAAACAATATAATAGCACTTGCTTGTTAAAAGCGTATAGTTGAAGAATAATACACATTGAGTGTAATATATCCGAAGTTGTTTTTCTCCAGGCAAGAATCATAATTTCTTTTTGTGTTTATACTTTGATATCTCTTTAGATAACGGGGGAAAACCATACAACATTTTATTGTTTGTTCGAAATTCTACACGAAAAAGGAGAAAACAATATTCTTTTGAAATTAATATACACCTGGCTTGATCGTTTTCAAGTTTGAAACACATGAAAGAAAAACTTCTAGTGATTGAAAGTACAGCTACTTCTCAGTTCTGCACTCCTTTCCGCCTTACATGTATGACAGACGTTTTGTTGACCGTCGGCCCCACAGGGTTAAAATCCAACTTGGTGATTCTTACATACAGAAGTCCAACATGCGCTTCTGGGAAGGAGCCAGATTCTCACGTTCATTTTATAGTTGTCTGTCTAGATAACATCGTTTCCCGGCTAGCAGTTCTAGAAAATTAAAAAGACTGTTAATAAAGAACTATTTTTTTGGATTAAACACGAATGGTTCCTTTACCATTTGCCTTATAAATAAAATGCTTGGTTTTGATCGCTCGTTGATGCTTCTGACGACTTTTACCGAATTCAGATGCCGTCTACATCTTTACCAGGTTGCTATGTAAATTCTTCTCAGCTATAGTACATTGAGCTAAAAACAAATCGTTTGTAATCTGATTACAAACATCTGTCTTCAATACTGTTCATTTTTTGATCTGCTGCTTTAGTTCAAGAACTTTTCTTTCAAAATTAGTTTTCTGAGTAAAGTTAAATATATTTGTACCTTGCCAAAAGACTGTATTTCTCGAGTTTCTGTGTCCGAAGTTTTAGCCAGCTGAGTCTGTCTAGGAAAGGGGTGTAAAACAATTCTGCAAAATTCAAAAATTCAGAGAAATTGTGCAGCGCAATAATACAGATTAAAGGAACTCCGACCGCTTCGGTTACCGAAAACCAAATACTCGAAGTGACCCCGTACCTCACCTTGATGATATGAAGACTGTTTTCTGCATCGAGGCACCCTGTAACTTCGAACTGAAACGCTGCAAGTAAGACCACCTCACTTTCTCTTTTACCCACTGAAAAAATATTTACGAATTCCTGCGTTCACACGCAGGAATCTGAAAACATCCTGTGAATGTTGGATATATACTGCAAGTTTCCTCATCACGTTACCTCGCCGAAAATTTTCCTGCAAGTTGGTGAGTATAATTGAGCAGGATTCTTTAACACGCTCACTTTTCAAGTTTCTTTTCTGCAGGATCCTGGAGGATT